CCAGGCCCAGGTAACTGGTTATGTACTCTTGATACCACATGTACATGTACCAAGAGTAAAATTTAATAAACTCCCAGGGTCCAGGGGGCTTATATACTCTTGATACCAAGAGTATATAACCCCCCCTCCCCCCCCCCCCTCCAGCCCCCACGGGGGGTTATATACTCTTGTTGATACTACTACACGCAGTGTGCAATACCTCATTCACATAAAGTCGTAATACTAGTATAATTAATTTCGCAGCACAAGCGGGCGGTAACGCCTTCTCTAATACATCATGTGAGCCAAGTGGAAGTGTAAACGGAATTGGTATAGAAGTTTGCAGTGCTAAGGGAATTGATGCGTGCACACAAGTACTTTCTTCCACATAATAATGTATGGAAGTTTCAAGACATCTACAGGTGACATATCTAGCGAAATATACATGTACATGTACATGTATACGCCATGCAAGAAAGATCTGATAGTATGAAGTATAATTGCTCAAGGTTTACTCACTCAATTTCTCTTTAGCGTTCATAATCTAAAATTATACCGTCATGTACACTGTACATCCTCAACTCACTCAACCTTATGACTGAACACATTTTACACCACAAAGTATTAAACTGGCAATTATATCCAGACATAAATTATTCCTCAACTCCCTCAACCTTATGAACACATTTTACACCACAAAATATTAAACTGGCAATTATATCCAGACATAAATTATTCCTCAACTCCCTCAACCTTATGAACACATTTTACACCACAAAATATTAAACTGGCAATTATATCCAGACATAAATTATTTTTGAAAATCTCCGATTCACTGGTTATACATGTACACTGTAGCACTGACCACAGTAATAACGTTGGGGGGGGGGGGGGAGGCTATCCGGCAAGCCAATAGCATCTGACGGATCCGTCCTGTGCACCCGCCACAAGCATGGCCCTGTAGAGCATGAGACAGGTGATTGGCGACGTGTGGCCACTCAGCGTCGAGTCCGTGCAGCGAGGTGGCGAGAAGCGCAGGTCCCAGCAGGAGATATCGCCGCACTCCAGGCCGATGAACATCTTCTCCGTGTTCAGTGCCAGCGCCACGGCCGCCGAGCTGCAGTGCTCAGGGATCAACGTGTGCACGAGAGTTATAGGGCCTTTGCCTTGCGTTGACCAAACACACACTTCCTCTTTCTTGGCGCAGTACAGCAGCCCATCGCAGGCTCTTATCGCAACGGCAGGCGACACGGAGGCAGAGATAGTCTGAATGCAAGCGCTGAGCTCGGAGCCAATCAGCCAGACCTTCACCGTGCCCTCAGCATCGCATGAATACAATCGTGTTTCGTCCACAGCTAAGCCAGTGACCGGTTGACTGTGCCCGTCCAGGCTGAACGCGTGGCGGCGAGCGTCGGGATCGTCCAGCTCCGCGCGAACATCCCAGCAACTGATGACGGCCTCAGACTTGGCGGCAGAGAAGAGGTAGCTGCGGGGAGCATGGTGTGCAAGAAGTGTAACCGCGTGAGTGTGAGCAGCAATCCGTGCCCAGGCATTGGGCTGGTACATTTCTCTCGCCACTTGGCCTTCATCCAGCAACCAGCAGCTGATGTGCCCGGATGCGTGGCCAGCATACACCGCCACCTCCCCGTCCGCCGCCGCCACTGACTCCAGGGCGGTGAAGCCGTCTTTCGGCACGGCTCGGATCTTCCTCAGAGAGGCGCCCTCGCCACTGCTGATGTTCACACCCCACACGCGTAAGCTCTTGTCGATCGAGCCTGTCAGAACACGCGTCTTGAGCATGGTCAGACACGTCGCCGACTCCGTGTGTTTGCGCAGGACGATGCTCCTCTGCTGTTCGCTGATGTGCCAGGGATCGTAGTGAGATTTCTCACTGCTTCTCAGCCCCAGGTCCTTACACAGTTCCTCGTTCAAGCCGTGCGGAGCAATCGTCAGCACGTAATCAGTGATGGCGGTTATCGCCCGCGTCGCTGTCTGTGCCTTTTGCCGCTGTCCGGGCACGAGGTGCTTGAGTCTGACACTTGTCCGACGGCCTGGTTGGCGCTCGTCTCGAAAGTCGTCGAACAGCTTCACGGTCTCCGGCAGAGAGAACAAATCTCTCAGGAACTTGATGCACAGTCGCTTGGCCACATCAGGCTCGCCGCAGTGCACGTGATATGCAGCGACGATCGATGCCTTGGTGGCCAAGATCTTGCTGTCGATGTCCGGAACTATGCCGAACGCGGAGCGTGCGTTTCGCAGTGTCTCCTCGAAAAACCATTTGGCCCGTTCTCCGGCCGCCGTCACAGAGCGGGCGTGTGCACTCTGATCGACAGCCTGTTCCTTGTCTACATCGTCATTAGGATCGTAATACTGTTGAATGAGATACGCCGACTCCAGATGGTCCAGAGCTGTGCGCAGCTCACGACATCTCAGCTCGTGAAGGTCTTCCTTGATCGACTCAAGCTCTCCCAGAAGGCTCTCGCGGAGCTGCTCAAAGCCCACTTCGTTCTCCATTCTAGCAGCCATGTGTTTCTTGAGCACGCCCCAGGCGACGCGCATTCCCACCGCAGCCACACTGCCCACAGCCTCCATTGAACCTCGTCAACTCGACAGCCTTTCCAAAAAAATAACTCAGTTTATACGCGTGTACCGATTGTGCGGGAGGATCTCAGCCGGGCTACCCAGTCACCGAGACTCCTGCACTGTAATCCACGGGAAAGTAATTAGTTACTCGCAGTTTTCGTAACTGCTGGAGTCGTGAGCTTGATCTCAAGCAGTGGAGTCCAGGACTGACCGCCGAACAGGTCAATAGCCCGGGTTGAAACTGACAAAGTAACCACCGCTAGTACATTGTAGTTTCAGAGATCAAGGCAGCCCTTGAGTTGACCGACATGTCAAGGTTTGAGCATTGCTAAACTGACTGTGCGGAAGACTGCAGTACAGACTCGTTCTACATGATGTAGCAGAAGTAACAACGTAACGTCGTTAGTTGCGTGCAGTTCTGCACCAGCCCTACTCTTTTACCTTGGTGTTGGCCTAACGCTGCAGATGATCACAGTACACTACTGCCTATTTGCAGAAATCATCGTTAGTACTAAAGCCGGTAGCTACTACAGCTACTGAGCTAGCTGGAGAGGCCGCTGTACTGTATGCACATACTGCACTGACATAACCAGTTTACCTGCTTGCAGCCATGCAGGACGCGTCGACGACCCATAGCTCTAGCAGAGCAGCACTCAGCCTCGTGCTGTGGAAACCGAGAAGAACAACAGCTACTTCAAAGTTCTGCCCGACACGGTCCTCGTGGCTCTGGGCTAGCTGAACGCCCTGCGTATCACAGGTTGCGTTTGATGAGGCCTGCAGAAACCGCGAAGTGCCCTTTTGAAGCACCGTGCTCTGTTGCCTTATAATCATTACACAACGATTTACATGTCGCGTCTACACAATCATAGATTCATACACACAATTATATAGGCTGGCCCAGCTCGAAAGTGGGAGAGAAAACTGAGAGTTCTAAAAGTAAAGGGACTTCACCTGTCTCGGGCCACTCGGGTTATTGTAGTGGCAGTGCTTGTGCTTGCAGACTACTCAGCAGGACCACTCTGTAAGTCTGTATGCATGGTATGCAGTCTGATTCAAGGTCAGGGTTCGTTGGGTGGACACATCCAGTTCGACTGCTCTTTGGAAATACATGTACTTGGTCGCTGACTTGCGGTCGGTTCGGCCAGCTCCGTTGAAACAATGATAGTAGACGGGAGAAGAGCGAGCCCGAACGGTTATGAGTAGATCTACCAATGACAATGTGTACTGAGTCTGTAGCATTCAGTCACGCCCCACGCAAGAACGCCAGTATAACAATTAACAAAGTTGGCCTGCTTACTTCAAGCACAATCTTAGTGGCTGGATGAGAGGCCCACTTGAATTGTTTTATTAGGGCAAGGTCAATGAAGAAGCTAACGTAATAATTATTACACTTCAAGTTCTCAAGTAACCTCGGTACATGTACTACTAGGGAATGTGAGACTGCTAGTCTTTGCAAGTACATGTACATCATTATTTTTATAACAGAAAACGAAAAGATGCCAACCCTACAAGTACAAGGACTCAAACCCGATTGAGTGGGACGTTGCTTATCACGACATGATTCACGAGGAATGCTCTAGCCACTTGAGCTATGACTATGAGACGAAGCTTGTTCCAGCTACATGTACATAATCATTATCTGTGTCAATATTTTTCAAAACGAAACTCTCCTGGATCATGGACCCACCCATATTATAAAGGATGGGTAAATGGTTCAAATGGACGGCCAGGGAGATAGCGGTAGCAACTTCGGGGAAAGTTACAGAATGGCTCAGACCACGCAGTGGTCTGATATCAGCTGCATCGAACCTTCGACTCAGCGAACCGGCAAGAAAGCGTTACACCCTTCTCAATACACACGTAACACAGTTTTTCACTCCTCAACAGTTGACTTGCAAGCTTGAGTTGGCAGAGGAAGGTTGTGTCTGGAGAGAGCAACACTAGCGCTCTCCTGGCCAAACCATCACCAGGGATACAAACTGAATGAGAGACAATCCGTTCCCAGCGCGACAAACACCTCGTGAACACCAGATAAGGACCTTAGGTGTGGGTCCTCTTCACTCAGTACTACTACTAGTACTACACTAGTCTACAGTAGAGACAGAGTTGCGAGCTGTATTCCCGGTGCCGAAAGGCGGGCTCAAACCCCAGTGCTGGTTCCCACTATGGCAACTAATACTTACTTCGGCAAGTTCCCCAAGCCTAACCCCTAAGACGAAGTGAATACTGTCTGTAGTAGTCATACTGGTCGAAGTAGAAACAAAACTAAAAAACAACAACAACAACAACAACAACAACAACAACAACAACAACAACAACAACAACAACAACAACAACAACAACAACAACAACAACAACAACAACAACAACAACAACAACAACAACAACAACAACAACAACAACAACAACAACAACAACAACAACAACAACAACAACAACAACAACAACAACAACAACAACAACAACAACAACAACAACAACAACAACAACAACAACAACAACAACAACAACAACAACAACAACAACAACAACAACAACAACAACAACAACAACAACAACAACAACAACAACAACAACAACAACAACAACAACAACAACAACAACAACAACAACAACAACAACAACAACAACAACAACAACAACAACAACAACAACAACAACAACAACAACAACAACAACAACAACAACAACAACAACAACAACAACAACAACAACAACAACAACAACAACAACAACAACAACAACAACAACAACAACAACAACAACAACAACAACAACAACAACAACACAAAGCAACAGATAGCAGCGTGAGTCAGAGTCGCTCGTGGATAGGTCGAGGAGGACCGTCGCCTCAGGCATTCGCAACGCAGCCTGTCAACTCCAAACAAACATCGCAGGCCTGTGCTGGGCACAACAGTACGAGGTCAGTGGCGGTAGCGACTTTGGCGGAAAGTCGGTTGTTCCTCACACCAGAGCTCAGCTCACACTTTCAATTTTCCGAACTAACTTGTTACTTGGGTTCGGCCGCCGCGGCATGACCGATAGGCGATACAAACACATCCAGAAAGAATGCCCAAAGTGTCAGAATGCTGAAATTCGTCTCCCGAGTGTTATTGAAGACCAAAGTGTAGTGTCCACATCTCGCTTTGCTTGGGAAAGCTTAGCAAAAACAAGATTCTACGATCGTGCGCCTTTACCTTCTTCAAGCTAAGGGTGCTTTCTTATTTTCTCTAGCTTCTCCTGGAATTCAGTGGAAGAAACTGGGAAAATTGAAAGATAGTCCGGCGTCCATATACATGTACATGTACTTCCAAAAAGTAGTATTTTAATTTTTTGGAATGGTCTCTTCAAGCTGCGGTCTGCCAATTGAAGATTAAATATCAAGAAACTGTAAAAACAAGCGAGGAGATGGTTAATTGTTCCATTTATTATTTCACTAGGGCAATCGCCACAGACTATGACTCTATGAGTCTCTTTACAGAGTACTGGATCTAACATTACCCTAGGTAACTACTGCGTGAAATGAACTTTCGGAAATGAAGAAAAGGAGGCTGCATTATGTGTCGTGAAAGAGATGGAAAACGCTCAAACTTGGCAATACCTACCAGTTCAAGGGAGAGCAATTGGATGGATAGTTTGCATCTTGATGACACAATTTTTAGTACATTTCCATTTTCGTGAAGATGTTCCATCAGAATCATTGGACGTCACTTCAGTGATGAAAGGTTTTCAACAAATTGTTGAGGGGTTCAAAGTAGAGCACAGCAACTTGTTGGTATGTAGAAATGCACCTTGGGCATCAATAACTAAGCTTGCAAACTGAGCAGCTTCCATCAAACCGTGCAGCAGAATAAACTGGTCTGTTGATCGTACAGCTAGCGGTCAGCCACAGAGAACCAACAAATGACTGAAATGAAGGGACACCTGGGGGGGGGGGGGGGGGGGGTAACGCTGGTAGCACTACAGGTCAGGTACCTACAACAACAGCAACAAAGAAAAACACAGAGATAGATAGAGGAACGCCTGTCAAGTTCGGAGTCCTCCCTTGGCTAGTTGAATAACTCGACAATTATATTTTTAACAGGATTTAATACTATCCGCTGCATCTTGTGCATCCCACTGTACACATTCGGAAATGTCAACAAAGCAGTGTCGTGTGTGTACACATCGAGTTTTTGAGTATCTGGCTTGCTGGTCCCACTGGTGTGTCTTTCAATGCACACAAGCTACATTGTGCATGTTTACGAGTTGTTTACGAGTTGTTGGCCACCTTCTAAATACATGTACACACAATTAGGTGTCATCAATCAGGGAGCTCCTCGGAACAACAACAGAGAAAGAAACGCCTGCTGCACCAAGCATGCGCATAAGGCAGGTCATTGTATCACGTCTCTACGTAGCAATGCTACCACTACTACTGTAGTTACACAAAAACCAGTTGGCATGCTAGTACTACCGTACTGGCAATATATGTTGCCGCAGTGAGGCCATGATGCGTTACATTGGCACATGTTTGCCGCACGCAGGGCGTTACATGCAAAGTCGCACAGGAGCCGTTACACAGGTTTCTATATTGCCGCAGTCCTTTTTTTTTGCTATTGCAGGACTTCCTGCTGCGTCCAGTTTTTTCACCACGCGGTTCACGTGCTTTCACAGTTTTCAGCCTTTTTTGCAATGAAAAGATCGCCGCACCCCGCCGGACGCGCGTTACGAACTCAACGAAAATTTGTCGCACTAGCCTGGTCGCGCGTTACGCCGCACCCCCCTGCGTTACGCGTTACGCGGCAACATAATTATAATTATTGCCAGTACGGTAGTATGCTTTCCCCACTTGCTGACAAAGCAAGCACACATAGAACTAGACACTCGGACAGTGCTTGGGCATCACAATGTGGCAACCCAAGCCCAAGGGGATTAGGAAAACATTGAAAACGGCTGTGCAAAACTCTTTTATTATAGAGGTTGCTACGCATCATCTATTCATATCAACTGCCATTACAAGTGCTGGCTTGCCACTCAATACCCAAACCTGCAAGAAAATGGCATTCGAATGATTCAACCCATGTCTTCTTACTCATCGCCTTTACCTCTAATCCCTGTCTCCAGTCAGGAGGTAAGGCACCCAATCCCAGATGAGTATCCCTGGGACAACAGTTTTTGTCGCGGTAGTATTTCTGTATCTGACAGATGGAGGAAAAATCTACTGCCAGCGCCTTTTTAAAGGGGAAGTTAAGGCAAAAATCAAAATTTCACCAGTTGTAGTCTTCGGGGTGCTGAGTCGAATGGTCTTGGTCCGAGAAAGCTGAGACGCTCCCTTCCTACTTGAATCCCAATCGAACTCGCGCACTTCCACCGAAACTGGGTGACTGCGCCCTACGAGATGGGGATTTGTATGCAAAATGTCACTAAAAGCGCCATTTCGTTCTTATAAAAGCACGGATGACTGCGATTGGCCCATATGTTGTAGTCTTTTGGACGCTGAGTCGACTGGTTTTGGTCCGAAAAGGCTGCGATGCAGCGTTCCTCCTTTATTCCCAATCGAACATGGTTGAAGAAGCGGTCACGTGCTCCTGGGTGCCAAAATCACCTGGTCACCACGCCAGCAGGCGACAACTTTCACACCAAGGTTCAACTCGAGTGACAGGACTGCACCCAAAAAAGGTCAAAACAGGCTGTAAGTTGTACCCTGCAGGCACGGTGACCAGGTGACTGGTGTACGCAGGAGCACGTGACCGCTTGTTCAACCTTGTTCGATTGGGAATTAGGGGCGAACGCTGCATCGCAGCCTTTTCAGACCAAAACCAGTCGACTCAGCGTCCAAAAGACTACAACATATGGGCCAATGGCGGTCATCCGTGCTTTTATAAGAACGAAATGGCGCTTTTAGTGACATTTTGCATACAAATCCCCATCTCGTAGGGCGCAGTCACCCAGTTTCGGTGGAAGTGCGCGAGTTCGATTGGGATTCAAGTAGGAAGGGAGCGTCTCAGCTTTCTCGGACCAAGACCATTCGACTCAGCACCCCGAAGACTACAACTGGTGAAATTTTAATTTTTGCCTTAACTTCCCCTTTAAATGTCCAGTCCCTTCAGTGAAATGTCCTTGGAAAAGATCGTGATGGACCCAATCACTCACCATGATTAGTTTTGGTCTCATGCCTCAGGAGGGTCCAGCAACAGTTACTGCTCAAAGTGAGAGCGTTTGTGTGGGTACATGACTTCGATGATATCCAGGAAGGTGGTGAAGTACGCCCGGCCACCCGGCAGGAGGTACACGTCAGCAGGTCCTCATTGTGCTCTCGACTTCCGTCGTTCTTTTCGCGCAGGCGCAGCTTGTCGATCGAATCCGCGCCCGGAAGCAGCCGCTTTGCAATCATCTTGTTCCGGAGCGTACTTGCTGGCAGCGATAGGATTCACCCGCGATACCGATCAGTGGGGAAGTCTGGGTGCTTCCAGGGGTCTAGGGAAAAAAAGTGATGGACAAGAACACAAATTCGTGAGCAATCTTATAAATCAACTGGCTGCCACATGTTCACATAAGCAAAACAAGTCTGTGCATGGAGTATCACTGGCAACGCCTTGTTAGCCGACGCACAAATGCACCGCTGGGTTGTACGGAAAAGGTAATAAGAAATTCGAGTGGCATAAGGCGTTTTCGGATGGTCCGGTCACCCACCTGACGTACAACATTACCCGTGCGGGGGGGGGGGGGGCAGCTTGGCTGATATGTTTCCGAAATTTAGACCCCAAATCAGTTTATCTTATTGATTCGCAGGGTACCCAGGGAAAGGAGTGGTACTGTCAATAACGTTGTGGCAGTGCTGCAAATTAACAAATTTCCGGCGAATATTTATTTTTATTTTCGGCTGTTATCGGCCTAAAAAATTTTGTAGCCAAAATTTCGTGTTTCAAGTTTCGGTATTGCAGTGTATACAGGCAGCAGCGGTACAGGTTAACATTTTAATGTGGCTCGCAAAATGTGTTTTAAGCCTGACAGGCTGAAATTCAAACGTCCTGAAAATGTGTGGACTTACAGCAGTGTGTCTGAAACCCATCGACAATGTGCCTGCAACCTTTGGTTACTTCTCTGTAGGTGCTGCCGTACACTCTGATTTTCTTTTGATAGTACATGGGAGAACAGATCATGCTGCACGGCAATCGAGAATCGAAGATTTGCTCAAAAGCAGACTCTCCTCGCTCACTCACTGACAGACACTGAATTGGAATCTGAAGCCAGATGGTCGCTCAGGCAGTTCCAGTGTTCCAATGCGCTTCCTAGGTCTCCACATGCCATGACTACAGAAACCAGAGCAGAGCGCACATCTAGCACACGATGATGGCTGGAATACATGTAGACGGATGCATTTTCACCACCTTCGTGCAGTGCAGCGGCTGAGTGTGGTGCTCACAGCCAATGCTTACCCGAGTGCTGTGTAAGTCTTGGCACCGTGGCATGCATTGTAAGATCTTCCATAGTTTGATGGTGGTAATGTTGTCTATGCAAAGGTCAGGAATGGATAATCTTTAGAATTCTTCACCAATCTTCGTTGCAACGAAGAGAACGCAGTTCACCTGTACACCGTTCTAATGTCTCTGTACTGGCTGTAGTGTTAGCTCCGAGGTGTTGGTATGTCTCTGTATTCTGTAGTGTTAGCTTCGAGCTGTTGGTATGTCTCTGTACTGGCTGTAGTGTTAGCTCCGAGCTGTTGGTGTGTCTCTGTATTCTGTAGTGTTAGCTCCGAGGTGTTGGTATGTCTCTGTATTGGATTGTCTATAGCTATCCTCACTGGCTTATTGTTGTTGTTGTTGTTGTTGTTGATTTTTATTTTTACTTCGCAAGGCCAAACGGGCAATGGTGCCCAATTCTATGGAAGCGAAAGCTTGTCAGTAGGGACCGGCTGATTCTGCTCGAAAAGGTGGCAGATTCTGCTCGTGAAATTGGCAGAACCATACAAACCTTATGGCGGGCAATTCCTCGAATTCTGCTCCATTTCTTTATCCACATACCAAACATGCATGAAACTTACCAGAAAAAGTGCCGAATTCTGCCAATTTTTCTGTCGGCAGAATCCGCCGGACCCTACTTGTCAGACGTGATCTCCGCCACCTCGATGTTAACTATGCTAAGCCCAAGATTTACAAACCGACCAAACATAAAACATTGGCAGCAGCCTCGTCAAAGTCACCAACTGTTGCCGCTTCGCTGCCTACATACTGATAGATTAGAGCCTGAGCTATGTAAAAAGAAGTCTGCGAGGCTGCCATTCAGGCTATAAATACATGTGCAGCACATCCGTTTTCACATGCGGAAACAGCATGCGTGCGTCCCCCAGTCATGAACAATTACATGTTACTGACTGTACGTTGGTTCACTTCATGTCATGGTGACGTATTGGATGTTGGTTGCCTCACTGCTTTCTCTCCTCTCACCTCTCGCCCAAGCCATTCAGCACAAGCAAGGCTGTGGACGCAGCGTAGTCCTGCTACACTTCAAGTTCAACGCGGAAATGCTTTAATATGATGATATACATGTACAGCACATACACAGCATACATGTGTTCAGATTTGAACATATGGTAACATATGCAAGACATAATGCTCTCCAAAGCGGAGTCCGACCGCCATGCCATGGGTGAAGATGATTGTTGTTCCGCCTGATATGCAACTACCCAGCGTTCCGTGACTTATTTTAGACCATGTGAGGCTAGATCTAGTGCCAGTGGTTCGCTAGCTGGTTGGTTTCCACAAATACAGTGGTGCAGTCTGGACCAGCGCTTTCCAAATGGCGTGGGCGTTTCAATCCAGTTCGGTATCTTCTTCCTCATTATTACCCTACCATTTGGTGCGAGTCTTGGTGAAGGACTCAGAGCAGTCTTCTTCCCGCGAAACCCTCTGAACTCTCCGTGTAATTTGAGCATTTGGCGTCCTTTTGTAGAACACTCGCACATATGCTGTGTTAGTCCGAGCCGCAGTGCCCAAATCAGTGGTGAAGCTGGAGCCCGAGACGCGACGGACTGACCTGCACTGCTTCCAAGTAAGTAATTTCGTAGTGTGACTGGGAAGTACATGCAGTGATTACCGGCGGGAACTTCACACAGACGTCCATTAGGGGATGGTTCTTCGAAGGTTGGAGACCATGGCAGGAAGGCTTTGTGTGCATGCCTTTGCACGTGTGATGGATTACGTCATGGTTGTAGTGTTACTGGTAAGCACCGAAATCGTGGCGGGCAGTAGCGAGCCATTCCGGGATGTCATTGCCTTTCCACTACAACCAATTCCATACGAAGTCGAGCTACCAAATGGAGAGCAAATTCAATCACCGATGGCAATGGTAACGGAGGCAGTGATGTTCCGAGAAAACAGTAGAAGCGAGTACACACCACATTTGATGTATATGTACAAGCTATACCACGGCGCAACAGCTTACTTGGAGGTGGCTGTGTACGATGTCAGCTATATGGGAGGTCAAACATGGCACTTGCTGGAACGTGAAGTAGACTTGAGCAAGGCTCTGGATGCAAGATGTTCGTCTTCTTCCTTCTCGCTCATGCCAAGCATCGCTGTGTCTCCATCCAGACATCAGGTCATAATGCATGGTTGGGGCCCTGGTGAATGTGGAGAGCTGTTGCTGATGTACGACAGTGATAGGAATACCAGGGTCATTCGCGCACAGCAGAAACAGAGGAATCCCCCCATTGGAGAGCTAGGAACAGCTCTGGTCACCATTTCCGCACCAAGCGCTGGCAGAGGGAATTACATGTATCGGAGCTCTCCATTCTACCTGGTTTCATTCGGAGGGTGTGCATGGCATGGCTACCAGCCAGAAACACGCAAGTGTTCGAATTACTCCGACGGCCTGCACCAGGTACTGGTACGGGTGACCGAGGAACAGGACGATGACGGTGTCGCACAATGGGAACACATCCAGCTGAATGAAACCCAGAAGCCTGAAAGTCGAGTATTCGCCAGGCTCTTCGCAGATGGCAATGCCTCCCTTGTACTGTTTGGTGGATGGAAGCCGCTTGGACGTTGGAATGGCATTGCTATTTTGGATGTTTGGAGATTTGACCTTTCATCGCGGATGTGGATAGACCTGGGTGCTGTTTTCCTGAAACGATGGGAAGCCTATAATACCAAACGGGGTCCAGACTCGCTTGATATCATGGCATCCTATCAAGCCTCACGCAGAACATTGGTCATTTACGACAACTTCAGACGCAATGGTTGCCTTGCCATTGTTTGCTACCTTTGGGAAGCCTCTGCCAGCTGTGCTAGGGCTTCGGTGCGCTCGTCGTCCCTGTTTTTCTCAGGCCTCTGCTGGGTGAACCTGGCATCAGGGACGTCATCTTTCTATTTCGTATCTTCGCTGGGAAGAGAGATATCATCAGTGCGCATATACATAACCATCACCAGGAATCGAACAGTTCAGCGACTGGAGCACCATGACTTGGGATTTGCGAAGGGCTTTCCGGGCTTTAAAGGAAGCTCGCGGCGGGAGGTCGCGGCCCTGCAACAGCCCATGACATCCAGTGAGAATCGAGAGTACGTCTTCTTCGGAGTAGGAGGCTTGAGTAGGAGAGAAAGCCGACCAATACGGGACTTCATTGCTGAAAACAATGCCTCAATGCCAGTGTGGATATTACGCTACAGCAATCCGAGAAGATCAGGGACGCTGTCAAGCTTTGAGTACACTCTGCTCTATCCCAAACCGGGACCAAAGGACCCACTCCGCCACTACCCTAGCGTCACGTTTGTTACAAACAAAACCGCGGTCTTATATGGTGGCTACATCAGAAGTTCAGCCAGGTCAGCTGAGCCTGATCCCAATCCGACGTGCTTCAATCTGCAGCGTCACTTTTGGACTAGAGCTGATATTGCAGCGGGTGTTGTACCTTCGCTACGACGAGAGCACGTTTCATTCCGGCACAACAGCTCTGTCATGGTTGTGCATGGAGGAATAGCGCCGTGGGACGACGTTCTGGGCGATCTTTGGATGCTCGTCATGGACGACGAACCTCGCTGCAAAGTTCGCTGGCACAACCTTACGCCTCATGTCAAGAAGGGACGTCTACCCCAGAATTTTGGTCACAGTGCAACCCACACTGACAATGCTGTAATCCTGTACGGCGGGCGAAAACCAGGCCCCTCTAAACTCACATTCGTTAGAATACAATCGTCAACTTGGGTTTCGGTAAGCGACATTCTTATTAGCCCCAGCATTCCAAACCGCTACTACCACAGCCTCTCGTTTTTCAATGCTGACCTTATTCTTCTAGGAGGATTTCGGGCTGATGGTCGAAATCAGCCACGAGCAGACTGGGCATTGCTGATGTCCTTCAAAAGAGCAGGAACTTCCATGATCGCCACCTCGACAAGATTCTTCAAAGCCGACATCGTGTCCCAATTGGTCTTTGGAGATATGGTGCTTTCCGGCTACGGGACGCACTCCAACGTGATGCTGGAGTCACATTTCAGCATTCTCAACACGACTGGACTGTGTCCTATTGGACATGAACGAGATCAAGACAACACCTGCCATCCATGTGCCAATGGGTATTACTCAGCCACTCTTCAACAACAATGTACGAAATGCAACCAATCACTGACAACCAGCAATGTGGCATCCAGTTATTGTGTTCCCGACAGCCCGTGCAAGCCACACATCTGTAACCATGGTAACTGTATCGTCGACGAAGTCAACTTCAAACATATCTGTGTATGCCAATTCGGATATCTTCCCGATGATGACTGCAAAACACCATCCATCTACCTGGCCTTGATGGCAGCTCTTGTTTTCACGTCCACTCTAACTATACTCACCATTGCTCTCATTCAGTTCTTGAGGAAGAGAAGAGCCCTCAATGCCAAGGAAATTGAATTAGTCAACACCAACCGTGACCTCTACCGTTCTAAACGAAAAATCAGTCAACTTGATCATGGAACATGCATTGCCTGGTCGGATCTGAAGATCAAGAAACAACTAGCTACTGGGAGATTCAGCAAGGTATTACTAGCTGAGCTAGGCGATATGGCTGTTGTGGTCAAGCGACTTCCAGCATTCGTTTCCAATGCCTCACCTGACGACATCTTCATCCAAGAGGCTGAAGTTCTTCGAACATTGCGTCATCCCAATATTGTCATGTTCTTTGGAGCTGGAAAGGACACAAGATCGGGCTGCCCTTTTCTAGTGATGGAATATTTAAGACGAGGCTCGCTCTACGATGTTATCCATGGTGAATCCAAAGTGATTGAACACATCGATCGACTTCGCTTTTCCCTGGATGCTGCACGCGGAATCAAGTACCTACACAGTACAAGGCCTCCAAGAATTCATCGTGATATCAAGTCAGCTAACATGCTGGTCAGTGATAAATGGGTGGTGAAAGTAGCTGACATGGAGACTACACGATTTCTGGCTATCCTACAAGCTAACACTAAGCCAAAGGAGACCTCGTCCAGTGCTGCTAACGGAGAAACAGATCACGCTAAACGCACTACATCCTTCACAAGCCAGCAATCTGATCTGCTGACAACACCCCTTCTAGCTACCACAGTGCTCAGTGATGACAGCCCTGGTATTACTCAGGACAGGCACAGAGACACAGAGGGTATGACATCGCGTATTGGAATGACGTGTGGAGTAGGCACTGATCGCTGGAGATCACCTGAATCTATCAAGAAGAATCTCTACACGGAGAAACACGATGTTTACAGGTAAGCATCAAAAACATATTTTGTAAGTCAATATTCACTACACCATGACTGAGTTACGAGAGGTACTAGTAGTAGTGGTAGAGCTTCGCTGGCCATAACTCATAAGCGACGGCCCCTGGTTCGAATCCTGGTGGTGGCAGTCAATTTTTTCTTCAGACTTTTCCGCTTGCACCTTTCTGCCGTAGAAACTAAATACTGAAGTATGTACAAAACCACAATTCAATTTTAAAAAGCTTCCCAGTTACTATTCGGAATAAGTCACAGTGAGCTTTTCTACTTCGCTTCATGCTCTGCCTAAATTTGAATAAGTTCGTTTCTCTAAAACTGACCACTTTTTGTTTCCACTGCATTCCCCTACAGTTTTGGCGTGGTCATGTGGGAGCTGAGCACTCGTCAGATACCCTATGGACATCTGCACAACTCAGAAGATGTACTTGACGAAATTGTCCGAGGCAATAAGCTGATCTTTCCACCCGATATCCGCTATGCCTATCGACATCTTGCTGAACAGTGCCTTAAGACGGATCCTGAAGAACGACCACCTATGGGGACTATTGTCCAAGAACTGATGTCACAGATTGATGCAATCTGATCCTGGAGCAGCATATGACCAAACACTGTGTTCCTCATCAGCGTTCAGCCATGAAAAAACGTAATTTGAGGCTTCTGAAGTAGACAGCGATGATGGCCATCGAATGTTCCCTGCCCCCCCCCCCCCTCCCATGTATAAGTACACCGACCCCCCCCCCCCTCCCAATTTGGAATGCACTGCCACCTGCTTACCGCCTTTCTAATTCAACTGCTGAATTTCGATCATCCATCAAGACGTTCTTAGGGTTCCCTGTAAGAAGGCGATGACGCCTGAGGGGAATTCCCTAGTAAAAATAAGAAGAATAAAAATAAATCAATAATTTCTTTGACTGGCTGTATCAGTTGCGCACTTATACCTGTTGATCAGTACCTACATGTATTATGTGCATGACTGTATATACATGTGTGCACTGTGCATCTACTGCTTACACAGCTGCATAATGCCGTTTATTATTATTTTTAAAATTTTACTTTTATTATTTTTTTCGGCAACGCAGATGATGATGATGATGATGATGACTGTATAATATACCATACTTATACATGTACATGCACCTGTATGTGGAAGGTTACCATGGTTACGGGAGATCTCTTGGCACACTCGTTATGTTTGTCTTTTGTTCTTTCTTCCTTTTTCCCTTGTACTTTTTTCTTCTTCCTCTTTTTTCTTTTTTTTCCCTTTCTCTTTTTCTTTTTGAGTATTTGCAGTCTGTGTTTTCTGTGTTTTCCTCTCTTTCGTGGAGGCTTGCTTGTTGTATTCTTGGCTTTTGTCCGTTACTTTATCGCCATCATAATATTGGGCACCATTGCCCGTTTGGTCTGCTATACAAAATAAAATTTCAACAACAACAACTCTACACCTTCTCACCTCCTTCACATTGTATTATCTAGTGATACCATAGTATTAGATTCACCTGATCATTAATTTCTAATCCTTATGCAGAACCTAAAGGTAACACTAAAGATGTAAAATTAATATCTGTATGTCGTGAGGAAATCAAGCGGCGTTCTCAAGTAGAAGGTTAGTGATTGAGTCTTTGAGAATCACTGTATGTTCTTGGAGACTAACTCAAGAAAAGAACACGTTTCAGGCTGCTCACAAAAAAAACGAGTCTCAATCCACATTTTTCAAAACTTTTCCACGGCTCTAGTCCGGCCAGTGGCTGCTCATCCGGCGGGATGAAGGCAACAAGGAACTAAACAAGCTCAGTAAAGGACGTTTACAGCGGAGATGGCATATACACAGCACAAAGAAGAGTAGCCAGAAACAACACGGTGAATGCATGACCTAGTAGTACACACAGAAGGAATGGCAAAATGAGGTGCAAGTGCAAAGAAACCAATTTGCAAACAATAGTGCGATGTATTGCGACAACAAATGACAATCAATGGACAAAACCAACCAGTTGTTGACGACCTGCGAAACGACCTAATCGTGCAATTTTTTTAATTGTTCCTGTTTGCATAGGCTTGGCCTGGTGTGGATGTAGACAGTTTTACTTCTGGCTACTTTTCTTTAAGCTCTGGAAAGTCGCATTGGCAAGGTACAGGCATCAGAGCTCCGACTGTTGCAAGTGTCAATCGGCATTTGAATCGACCTTAATTGTGAATGGCCGACGGTCCTCAGCGCTTGTTCAGCACCTCCATGAGCGACACGGCGACTGTCTCATCCCCTCAGCGTCTTCTGCGCGCTACCTCGGCGTTCACCTTGACAATCGCCTAGACTGGGACACCCATGTAAACTATGTGGTCACCAAGGTTGCCAAGAAAATTGGCGCCTTGTGGCGGGCACGCCGAAGCCTATCAAGACGCTCTCGTCAGGTGTATGTGAAGGCGGTCATAATGCCCAACCTGTTTTATGGCTCCTGCTGCTTTTCAGCCGCAATGCGAGAGGGTCAACTGAAACGACTGCAAACCGCGCAAAACAGAGCCATCCGCTGTATCGGTGGCAACCCGCCCCGGACAGCCATGCAGCCGCTGCTCACTGCTCACTCCCTGTACCATGTCAGCGAGCTCTACAGGCAGAAAATATTGATCACCATCTGGCGGTGCATCCACGCCCGCACCAGCCCTGTGCTCGCCCAGCTTCTGACCCCGGCACAAGGCACCCCTACCCGCCATCAGCAGTCAAATGGCCTACTGTTCTGTAGGTTTTGCACAAGAACTCTCCAATTTTGAGTTGCAATATTGGCAACTTTTGAGCTTTTTCTGAAAATATGGATGCGATTTCAGCAACTAGCACGGGTACGAGTTTGCTGTCGCAGCATCGCTGCATTTCTGCTATTTCTGCTCCCTGTTTTGTAGGTTTTGCACAAGAACTCTCCAATTTTGAGTTGCGATATTGGCAACTTTTGAGCTTTTTCTGAAGATATGGATGCGATTTCAGCAACTAGCACTTGTTTTGGCACGGTTGCGAAAAGCATAAGTTGCGAAAAACTATGGCATCTTTGGGAAAGGGCTACTCATAGCCTACCTCACGACCTTCTGCTTTCTTTCTTCATCACTTGTATCTTGCAGGTATATCATCCCGTGACGACCGCATTGAAGTCTGAATTTGAAGTGTGAAGATGCTTCAGCAACCAAATCGTACTTTTCCATTGCTTTCATTGTGCTTCTACTGTGCATGTGTGTAACTTGTGGGGTAAACATGTGATGACATTGTACGCTGGCGACACGGTCAGATGTTGTCCATGCGTCTAACGTACACCTGCATGTTATGCATTGAAAACCGGGATTTGCCACTTGCGATCCAGGGACGAGTATCAGGTCAGCTTTGTCCTGTGTGGGCTGTATCAGATTGCTGTTCACTTCTCTATCTGTTGGATGTGTGACTTTCTGCAAGTTTCTGATGTATGATGGCCACTTCCTTGCTTGTCACTTTGTGTATTACATTCTGTATTCGCTGCTTCCATGGTGTGGTCTGCAAACTGCAATCCTTGGGCAAATGTCATGTTTGCTATGTTGTGCTATGGCCGTCAGCTTGTCTACACGCTGTAGTTGAATTATTTTTGTTTCACAACTGACTTCCTCAAGTACGGTGGCCACTGCTTTGCATGGCATTATACATGAAGAATTTCCTGTTTGTGTCGTGTGCATGTGCGTATGTGTGCGTGGCCACGTGTGTGTGCCGTGTGTATACGCATGTTTGTGTATCTGTGTGCGGGGTAGCGAGGTGGGGAGGGCTGGTATGTATCAGTGTGTTATTGCAGTCTCATGGCTACATACAGTACATCGTGCGCGTGGTCATGTTTACCTTCGGGGTTGGGGTGGGGAGGGAACGGAAAAAGAACTGAAATTATCCATATAAAAACCGCTCTGTGAGCGGTTCTGAAAACCCTTTACTGGTACTGCCCCGTCGTAAAAGTAAGAAATTAGAACTGGCCCATTGTTCCCCCAAATGCGAACTGATCCACCTAAATCGCGAATGACGGGACCCGAACGCACCAGTAGCACGAGGTTCCTACCTGTGGATGCAGATGGGGACGTTGGTCCGGACCATAGGCCATGTACTGTACTAGCGGTAGGTGGTGTTACCCTATGATAATTGCTCTGTCCCCGGGGAAATTGCGGAAAAAAATCGCAAAAAACGCGGGGGGGAAACGCGGCATAAAATGGCATAATTTGCGGTGAATTTGCGGTGAATAATATTTATGTGCGGCAATTTTCAGTGAGTATGTAGTGAAATCAATCAGTTACAAGTCTCTGGTGTAAGCACTCGTCATAATTTGAGTAAAAAGCCGCCACCATGAGACGTTGCTGACCGAACAGCGCACTGTGTGTACGTGTAAAGCAATTAACAAAAAAGTTCAAAAAACGCGGGAAAATCGCGGAAAACGTGATCTTTTAAAAAATCGCAAAAAAACGCGGAAAAAAACGGGGCCGCGGAATCGCAATTTTCCCCGGGGACAGATTGCTGTCCTGTGCCCTCCCGACCTCGTGCTACTGGTGCGTTCGGGTCCCGTGACTCCCGTCATTCGCGATTTAGGTGGATCAGTTCGCATTTGGGGGGACAATGGGCTAGTTCTAATTTCTTACTTTTACGACGGTGCAGTACCAGTAAAGGTTTTTCAGAACCGCTCACAGAGCGGTTTTTATATGGATAATGTAGATAGCGAGCTATTTCGCCCATATACATGTACAGTGTATACAGATATAGGCCTGTCCTCATCAGTACTAGGCATATGCGGAGAATGCCGGCAGAAAAATTGGCAGAATTCGGTACTTTTTCTGGTAAGTTTCATGCATGTTTGGTATGTGGATAAAGAAATGGAGCAGAATTCGAGGAATTACCCGCCATAAGGTTTGTATGGTTCTGCCAATTTCACTGCTTTTCGAGCAGAATCTGCCACCTTTTCGAGCATTATCCGCCAATGCCTAATCAGTACAGCTACGAGTTTTAAAAAAAGGGTAAGTTAAGCCTAAAATCAAAGTTTTCACCAGTTGTAGTCTTCGGGGTTTTGAGTCGAATTGTCTTGGTCCGAGGAAGCTGAGACGCTCCCTACCTCCTTAATTCCCAATCGGAATCGCGCACGAAACAAAATACAAAAGACAAGACCCATAAGACATGTTTAATGTACTTGAGTAAGACAACCAAGTTTACATAGAATCATGCCTTGGGAAGCAGTTGCTCAGGGTATACAACATGTAGACAGCCTAATTGTATTTTTTTTATTTTTTACTTTTGAACACTCACGGCATGATGAACTAAAATGTGGGGAAGAACTCGACACAATGTATACACAAGACTATAATAATAGTGCTGCGCTGCTATAAAAAGCAGATGTGTTTATTGTGTAGTGATCGTGCTGAAAACAACCTACATGTACATGGCCAGCTAGGGACAGTGAGAATGAATGATAGATGTATGGTTAGAGCTGCTACCTGTGTGCCAGACATACATGTACATTTTATGAAGAAGTCCTCCACACACACACGCACACACACACACACACACACCACACCACACCACCACCACACACATTCTACTGGAATAGCAAGATATCAGTTATGCCCTGCGGTAGGGATAGTTCACTGATCGCGGCCGCAACTCCATTTACATGGCTCTGGCATGCCCTGAGGATGGTGGTTCGACACAGCTGTAACAAAGATCTTGGTGGTCTAGCTGGTGTTAGTACATCGGCTGCACTGACTTTACGCCGTTCCTGGTCCAGATGAATACCACACTTGCAAGACGGACCGTCATGAAGACGGCCGTCCACGAATGGGATGTGCCTTATGTACCTTATACCGGGTATGCCATCAGCGAAGAAAAGCAACTTGAATACATTATCGTCTACTGACTTACAGCAAAGCAATCGAAGTGTGGCCAATGGTGCGCCCACACAAATCCAGCGTGGTAGATGACCACGTTCAATAATTGGACTAGAATCAGGAAATACGAGGTGCAGATCAACGCATTCACCAAAGAGACACTGAAGCGTTGGTATTGTAGGATCTCTTCCGGGCTCTGCGGTGAACGTTTTATGAAAATTTCCAACACAAATTTTTGAAGAAAGGCGCCAATGGTCCCTAGGGATATCTTGAATAGTTTCCACATCGTTTGATGACATGCCCGTTGGGTCCGTAACCTGTTGCAATAGATAGCGCACAACATTAACTATATTAACATGATCGGTGAGAAGACCCTGTTCCTGTAGAACTGGTCGGTCATGCACAATGGACCAGCCACTGCGCAACCGAGCCGTGCACACTCTACGCAGAATTAGCAGACAAAAGTACATCTTAGCCATGATCTCCTCTTCAGTGTAGCATGGTATTTCAAGGAGAGAAGTCCACTGTTGCCAGTGCTGCATCACACTGACGTATACTGTTCTGTCAAAAACAACATTCCATCGGATGCGCCGTCTCAGGAGCTGGCCCATATCCTCATCCATGTACAGATAAGCACGAGCTGCTTCCAGAAACGGAGGTGGAAAGCGAGGTGAGGAGCAGAGAGCAAGGAACTCATTGGTGTTTCTCCGCTGACACAGAGAGTAGGTTGATATTGTTTCCATCAAATCAAGACAAAACGCTGGGCGAGGGATTATACAAGAATACTGACGCAGAGGGACTAGGGGTGATGCTCCTTGCTCGAATAAATATCTGACAATCTCCGGCTGCCTGGTCAAGACTGCAAGATGCAGCGGACTGTATAACCAACAGGAGCCATCACTAAACACTGCGGCAGGTATGTGCACATCAGCTCCACACTGCACAAGAAATTCCACCATGGCTGCACGGCTACACAAGATGGCACAATTCAGCAATGTCAGATGGGAATCCATTCCGCACGGTCCATGACATCTAGAATTTATCAGTTTTTGACGGCATGTAAGAGCACAGGCAATTGGAAGTTCAAACACAATCTTCCCGGTGGACATTGATGACTGGCCAACGTTAAGCCTGTAGTTTCTCTTTGCCTGACTATTGCGTCCACCAACACCAGCAAGTTTCGGTTTGGGATTCACAAGTCCAGCAGCTGTAACTTCTAATTCTACGCAACGCACTTCTCCGGGCGCTAATGTTGGGCACACTTCCCAGCTGTCGCTGGCAAGTGCTTCAAACGACTGCAATGCACTCTCCACTGCCTCCACCTCTCCATTGCTTACCAGTGATGTCAAGAATGTTTGCAGTCCAGTGCAATCCACAAGGGTGCAGCTTAATCCGCCTGGCTTGCCCCGAATGTCCAGAGTTATCGATGTACTGCTTTGGGTTTTGCTCATTTTCGCCCACACGAGCAATTCTTTCCGGATACGCTGCAAGCAGGTTTTGTGTCGGCAAACAGCACGGCGTGAACATCTCTCCATGATGATTGACCCGGCTTAGCACAGAGTTATACTAAAAATACAATGTCACGGATACTTATAGTGATAGTGAATAATTTTCGGGCTCTCTTGTACCGTGCGTATTTATTATGCATCGGATGTGAGACTTTCTCATCGCTACCGCGCCAGATAGTTACCGCTGGACGAGGATCGGTGTGAACAATGTGGGAGCAACGGCGAGGCAACTGACTAACTACTAATTCGGTTCTGCGTAGAATGTAGGGCTCAAACGATTAGTCCGATTAACCGGTTGCAGACCGGTTACGAAGAATTAACGGTTAACCGATAAAGATAACGGTTACGCAGTAACTTTTCAGTCAATTTTTCAAGTATCAGGTCGTTGCAAAGGGTGCACTTTCGCGGGCTGTCGCACGCGTACGCAATTTCTGGGCTGTCAACTCGGTCATATCTAGGTCTCTTGGTGTGAGAGTATGTATGAATGAGCATGCAAGAGAATGTACAAGTGTGCGTTGTACTGGTACATTTTTTGAATGAGTATAGTCAAATATACGGTTAAAAAAGAGTCCGCAGGATTGCCGTGGCTTATAGGTTATAACCGGTTAACCGACCGTTAGCTTAGCAGTTAACCGTCAGGGGTAAAACCGTGACCGTTTGAGCCCTAGTAGAATGCCCGCGGATAGGTGTCAAAACTTGTACTGTACTTCAAAGTAAAATAATGTTGAGCTGAGACTAGTCAGCAGTTGATGCAGCGGTTCACAAAATGAAGGTGTTACTTTAGTACAGTTTACCTTTGTTCAGCGCTCTCTTTAGACAGTTACTATAGTAGATCTACCGCGTACCGGTATTGACTCCCATTGATTATTGCTATACCTAAGCAGTGAAATATTCCTGCATATTTCACTCCTTAGGGCTGACTGCTGATAATTATTTGACTCCTTGTTAGCCTACAACACATGCCTGGACTCACGCCAAAGACTTCTGTACACACTGCACACTTGGCAAAAAAACACCCATCCCAAAGCACAACTTGAAACGAGATAGGCCCACCAAGAAACAGCTTCAAGATTATGCTGAGCAAATATACCATTTCATTCATAAATGGAGAGCCAAGGATTAAATGGAAAAGAGAAGGACCAAAAGTTTACAAGTTATCCGCTTTTTTGTGTCCAACACTAAAAATAGACGTGATGCAGCCAAGCATCAGGTCGTTGAATGTCAGTATCACATCAGTCAGTGTTGTGCTTATTGAATATTGTTGCACTTTCTGACTCACTGGTAT